ATAATCAATTTAGTGAGCCTGAAACTATCGCGGTGTGCTAAAAGCCGTGGCTTGGAGGGTGGCTTGGAGCTAACGAGATAACTTGGACACCGCAGTCGGCCCAGTGTGTCTTGTTGTGTGGAGTTGCTGTCTGCGGGCTGAGAGTCAGACTCAATGGCCCCTTCTTAATGTGGCCTTTATGGCCCTTCCCGTCGATAGCCTACCTAGCGAGACGTGCTGTTTGGTACGCGTGTTGACTGTTGGCCGCGCCAGCCGTCTGCGCCCTTCTTTGTCTCCGGCCTTTTTCAGTCTGCCTTGACAACCGGGTCCCGGTGTGGAAGTCGTCAGAGAACGAAGTAGGTTCTCTGCGCGTCTGCTTTCGCTGTGTATCTCGCGAAAGTCACTGGGTTGCTTCAACTCGTTGAAGCTCGTAATGGATATCGTCGAAATCAACGGTCGAACTGTTGTGTGTGCGTGTGTCCACCGTTGAGCCTTGCTCCCAGGGCGTGGAGCCTCAGCCGCCTGCAGCTAATCAGTGAACTGATACAGTTTGATTGGCTACGTTTCGCAAGATGGGCCTATCACGTGACGACATCTGTGTCAGAGCGGATTAAACTCAGTAACCGAGGTTCTACTGTGAAGACATACATCAAAGATCCGTTGATTATAACAAAACACAAACTTACTTGAAAGCCTTGTAGAGCGGACGGAACCAACAGATGTAGGAGAGGGGAACACAGATTATGGTGATGAGGATGGCAACGCCAAACAGGGTGCCACCATCACCTGTGCCGGGGGAGGCGAAGTAGCAGATGGTGCCGAGCATGTTGACTAAGAGAAGGACTGCGTAGGACATCCAAATATAGTAACCGGTCCGGACCAGGCGTCTAAATTCAACTTTAATCTCGCGGTCAATGTCCTGGTAGAAACAGGGTCCACAGGGACAAAACTTGGGAAGTCGTGGCCAGTTTTTCGGATTGGCTGAAGCATAAAAAGGGGTCAGTGAAGCCAACATACAAATCAACAAATCCTTAAGAAGTTGGGTTCTCTCCCAGTCCGTCACAAAATATCACTCCATCAAGTAATACTCTGAAAACTGTGACATTCAAACAGATACAGAGCTTGGTGAGGTTGGACAGTGAACATATAGTTAAAACAAAGTGGATGGCGTAAACGGCCTGAACCGGAACAAAGACAGAAATTACGGGCATCAACAAATTTCTTGAGGACATTTCGACCATTGAGTCCGATTCCGTCATGTGCTTGACAAGTTGAGCGCCATAACAACGACTTGCGCGTTAATCAGTTTTTCTAGAAATAATAGACGTTCGTACAATATACCACACTTTCTTCTCGTTTATCAACCTGGAGTAGGTGTCACGACAAAAACAAGAAGCCAGAAAGCGGCATCGGGCGTTGTATGAGTCGGTAACGTTTGGTATGGATGTAAACCTCCTAACAATACAGTCATATGGCAGTTTGTGGTGAGTGTCACTGTGCTGACTCATCGTACTTTCAACTGCCAAGTCATTGCATAGTTGCGCGTTACAATCTGCCTCGCGCGCTCTTGTTCTATGCGCTGTGAATGCCGCCCACGCTGTCCGCCTCTCTCGCTCACGGTCAGCTGCGCAGACGCACGAGAGCTCGAAGTCAACATTCAGTATGGATGCGCATCCCCCAATAAAGCAGTCCTGTCCCCAAATCGGGCCTCTGTGTTGCTCTAGTACGTGTGTCTCACGTGCAGGTAATAAAATGCATACAAGACTGGCAGGGGAATGAAGACCGAATTTACAGCCGTCAATCAACGTTTTAATAGCTTTTAAGCCGCGTAGACGAATCGGAAATTTTATTAATGATGGTTTCAAAAGAAAGGCAAAAAATAGTGTAAGCGGCGACTGGTAGAGGTAGTGATTGGTGGTCGATGGTCAGAGCAAGCACACAGCTTCTACCTTGTTGTGAAAGAACGTGGGTGGTGTTCTCACACTGTTGAAACACACCAGTCAGCGCGACAAGTGAACAATGCTACCAGCATTACGTGTTTCGAGGTCAACGGACACCCTAATAATTATGTGAAGGACAGACATCGGGTGAGTATAAACCGCCAAAAAAGAGCGCAACCGGGAATTTGTAGGGAGTAGTGTGTGTGTAGGAGTGCCGATGGAATAGGTATTACTAACCTTTAATTGCCAGCCTTACCGAAATCCCGGATAGCCTCATATGAGCCTCGAACGCGCGCTCTTTGGTCATTCGTCCAACGACCAACAAATTGAACAGCGGATTCGTTGTTCTGTTGGTTGCGATCCGGAATATAACCATGTGGGAAGTGAGTTTACCGATTAAGCTATGGACCGTGGT